AGGCTGGCTGATTGCCAATTAGTGAAAGTAAACATTACCCATTGACGTCATTATATTCGCATTGTGGTTAGATGAAAGCTTGAATTAAGAATCACGTAGCGATACTTATGTAATTTTCGAACGTTACGTTTTATGTCCGCTAAAGATATGGTAATACACGTCACACTCACTTCTGTATTTACCAAGGGGTAAGTAGAGGTATATTAAGCATCCATATTTTGCCAAATAAAATCCTACTTACGTGATTAGAGATAAGCCTATCGCCGTCAACTGTGCATGGTAAGAATTATGAGAGTGTTGAGAGTAAAAGGGAAAGGTATATTCATATATTGCCTATGCACAGCAACAGCTTGAGCTATTGCATCAATGAATAGGGGTTTACTAATTTTATTTTCTATTTATTTAACACTATCAACTTGATGAAGTATCTCTTGATCTGGATCTCTAGGAAATCCGCCTGTTACGTCCTTGCTCCTTGCCGTCTGAACTAGATCGTCTATTCATTTTGCTGTCTCTGGATAGGATTATTTGGATACTAATTTCTAAAACTAGTTTTTTTTTCAAACTTTAAAAAGATTTGAAGAATTGAAAACAACGTAGAAGTCACTCAAAATAAAACAAGCCTATTAAATCAACGGTTGTGTTAATGTGTTTCATCTTCAAGAGTTCAAGTTTCACACTGTTGAACTATGCCAAGAATCATTTCTATCGTCTGAAACATGAAAGCGCCCAGTAATAAAAAATCTCTATTTTTGTTTTATGTGCACATGATTTCGCACGTGCCAATTTTTTCCAACCATCTCCGCTTGCCTTGACCGCTGAAAACTCAATAGCGTGAGCTAATGACGTAATTGAGGGGGTGGAAACATTTCCTGAGAATATTCGAAGTGAACCTTGTGAATTGTCAATATTGACTTGTTTTTTTTATTTGGCAATTTTTTTACCTACGACGTCTAGAATTATAACGCGTATGCGATGCGATGCGTAAATCTAAGAGCACTTAAGTATTGTTACACAGAAATATTTCGAATTCATCAATTTTCATAAAAATTTTACATAGCCGTTACAAGATTTTTTATAAAAAAACTTTTCCTGTCGGGCCTTGCCCCTCGAGAGATCTTTTTTTTCAGAGAAGAATTTCTTAGAGCAGAATCAGAACCAGAAACGAAAATAAGTAAAAGAGTAGTAGAAATGTATCAAAAATATGCTATTCCAGACTATAATCTATATCGGTAAAAAAAATTATCCAGATTCCTCCAGCATCTGGCGTGCTGAGTAATAAACTTTCGCATTAGTTTTTAGAAATGGCGATGTATATTAGATAAAATCCTTTAGATATGGCCAGTAGAAATAATGCCCACAGATTTGCCTAGTAGAGGCATAATCTAATGTAATTAGTACTTAGTGACTATGCTTGAACGCATTATGATAGCATAATTTGCCTAACTGTGTTAAGGTTATTTGAGCGTTTTATACAAGATGAGAGATTCACACCTGAGTACTGACAAACAACGTGATTAGGGCAGTATAGGTACTTGAAATCACAAGCCTCGACATGTTTGTGTCAACTTTTCGACGTTTTTGTGAATAGTGACGAATTTCAACTAATTACTCGTTGTCGTCTTTTGAACTGGAGGATCTTTTTCTGTAGTCTGATGGTTATTCCTGACTCCACATTTTTTAGCTGCAAACTAGTTGTTACTAAATATCTGGCGATTTCAGTAGACCAGCTGCGTTCAATCGTTAAGTGTTCAAAAAGGTGCAATTTCGATGCAAAGATGAATATTCGCTAAAATGCGCTAGCTCCGATGGAATAGAAAAAACGAAGCTTACTAGTGTGCAAATCAGCATGTGTACGGTTTTGTACTTCTTTACTCCTACACTCTAAATGTACTATTAAAAAAAAACCTGATACCGACCTTGTATCATTTAATAAATCCAATCTATTTGCGCATATTAATTCGCGTAGTAATTCCGAAGACCGGTTCCAACTGGGTTATTCTGATAAACTAACCTCAATATTAGGATCGAATTAATGACTTGAGGACTGCATACCATTACGCATGCCTAGCATCCTGACCAGCCTGTATCGCCGGTAGCATATGCAACCAAATAACACAACCCATGAGTGTTCTGAAATAGACTTTCCCACGGCCTTCGGATTAGTTTGTTTTCATAGCAGACGTAACGGTATCAATTTACGATAGAACCGGATTCGCTCGTATTGCAATAATATTGTCATTAATACACATTAGACTCACAGAAGGTTCAATATCTTCAGTCAATTGTTTTGAAAACTTGTGTGTTCGCTAGTTTTGTTTGGATTTGGTTCTTTCATTTGCAGATATGATACAATGTATTTGGAAAGAGTGGGGTTAGTTGTAACCTGTTCTTGAGAGGAAATAGTTTAAAATTTATAGTTTAAAATTACTTATAACGGCTAGATATTGCTTTGCTGATAAGAGGCTTTGCTATTGAAGGATGTATCAGTTCTTTTTTTTTGTCTTTATTTACGGAGCTTAGCCACAATGGTGACAACGTCGCTCCATCATAGCCATTTTTAGGGTTCCGTACCTCAAAAGGTAAAAAAGGAACCCTTATAAGATCACTTTCTTGTCCGTCTGTCCTAGCAAATTGAAATTTATACCAGATACTTAGGTCTTTGGTCCCTATTAGGCGTATAAAAATCAAGGTCCTGAGTCACCACGATAAAAAGATATTGGCAAATTTCGATTTTCACGAAAACTTGTAAGTATCAAAATTTATCTTAATTTTCAACTTTTTTATTTTTCAGAATTTTCTCTTTACTTGTGCTGTAAGACCTTGCTTTTAACCAAAATTGACAATTCTAGGTCAACCGGAAGTTCTCTATAGGTCTAGGGCCCTATAGGTTTTGGGTCGAAAACCTATTTGGTAGACCCGTTGACCTAGAATCACAAAATTTGGCAAAAAGAAACGTCTTACAGCACAAATAAAGGAATAATTCCAAAAAATAAAAAAAGTTGAAAATTAAGATAAATTTTCTCGAAAATCTACGTAAAATCTGGGTAGGTACGGAACCCTCGGCGCACGAGTTCGACTCGTACCTGACCGGTTTTTTTAAATATTGAAATTGATATTAATATCCTTAGCCGTATCTGTTAAAGGACTGGCTAGGATGCTGTTACATCTTCCAATGTCCATCAACCAGTTGCGTTTTGGTTTGATTATAACACATCACATCATCATCACATCATCAGCCTGTAATAGTCCACTGCTGAACATAGGCCTCTCCTTAGAAAGGAGGTTTAGGCCTACTATACCACGCTGGCCAGACGGGTTGGTATAGGGTTTGTGACAAGTTTTCCTTCTTTTTGCAGAGCTGGTGTCCTGCGTTGTTTTGCGCCCTTAGTCGCATGTCCCAAATTGATAACCGTTTTTCTTCTATTTTATTTATCTATCTATTGGATGTCAATGTGGTAAATGCAATAACTGCACAGTTAAAAATCGTGACGTATTAAAATTAGTATTAAATTACGATAGACGTTTCAATATTTTAATACTTGAATTATGAGTGGTTCTGTGCGTCAGTCTGCCATATTTGATATGTGACGAGTTCGAAAACTGTGACGCATAGTCATAGTCGACGGGCCTGATGGTCTAGTGGTTAGTGACCCCGACTGCTAAGCCGGAGGTCGTGGGTTCGATTCCCACCCAGGACTAATATTGTGTGATGAGCACGGTCATTTGTTCTGTTTCTGGGTGTAATTTATCTATAATATGTATGTATTTAGAAATATATAAGTATGTTTATCAGCAGTCTGGTTACCATAGCACAGGCTCTGCCTAGTTTGGGATCAGACGGCCATGTGTGAGATGAGATATATATATATGTCAATGTAATATATATATATATATATGTGAATGTATATATATATATAGTATGTCAATGTAAAATGCGTGAAGAGAATTATTTGTTCGCATATGTGAAGTATTTTGTTAAGAGGGGAACATCACTATGTATTTTTATTTAATTTATTTGGGACAAAAAACAGTTATACATTGCAGTCTTTACAAATAATTTAGAATTTATATCTTACCCACATAGCACACTATTGTCCACTAGGTTATAGCTGGAGCAGAAAAGGTAATGGACATGCATTAAACAAAAAGGAGAATTATATTATAAGATAAATAGTTAATAAAATAATATTATTATCTATACAAATAAATAAAATTGAAGTGTCTGTTTGTAATGTCAAAATAATAGGTTTTTTCATGCTCACGTGGTTATTTGCACGATACATATGCCTTAAAACCCTGTCTGTTTGTTCCGGGTAATCTTCAAAACGGCCAGACCGATTTTGATAATATTTTACTACCAGGTAGCTGTCTATACATATAAGGAGTAACTCGGGCCATTTTTCATCGCAGAAAAACCCTTTAAAAATTTTGCCCGGTCCGGGTATCGAACCCTAGGCACCATGGACTGCAGTCGCGTAACGTGCTGCATCACTTCCACGCGAAGGAAATCGCGGGCACCAGCTAATAAGCAATAAATTCAGTAGCTATTTTTCTTATCTATTTAATATTAATATTATTAAGCTTCGGAACATCCAGAAACTTCTAACATCATGTTGCAGCTCTTCATTAATTTCTGGCTGCTGTCACGTCCTGACCTCATCTATCTTTATCTTAAAGCTTGTACGTCTATCGTAAATATATCTGAAAACTGATATAAATTGGCAGCACACACGTAGTTGATAGTCTTGATAAAATTTGGAGAGTTAAAGTAAGTAAAGAGTAAAAGTTAAAAATAAAATTATTCAATTTTATGCTGGGCTTTTTAACTCTGCAAAATATGTTTTAAAGCGAGTAAAAACGTCCGAATTTAGGGCCGTAGAATCATTAATAATTATAAAGGTCCTTGTCCAAAAATTTAATTTTCGAGTTTTCTTAGTTATTTAACTATAAGAATCCTGTAAAATATTCGTACTAAATATATTTCTCTCTTGTCCTAGGTTGTCTAACATGCGTCCAGGTGCTAAACATTATGGTATTGTTGGGCTTTATGTTGAACTACGCCCTTCGTGTAAACCTCACCATCGCTATTGTGGAGATGACATACAATCAAACACAAATTGCCGACACCAACCAGACAATTCACAACGTAACCGAGGTAAGTTGATAGTAGGTACATAGAAATAGTCGGTGCTGTTCTGCCTAACCTCGAGCTTGGGTAGGTAGGGAGGGTCGCGCGTTACCTACACACTGACGCAGGTACTCACTGGGCATGGGTGCTTCGGAGGTGCCTGAATTGTATCGGATGGGAGGAGACGGCACAATGCCAGCACTGCGCAGCCGACTGGGATTCCGCCCAGCACACGCTGGAAGATCTGTGAATCTGTAATGCTCCAGAAAGAGACCGCTGAACAGGTTGTCGGCGACAAAACCTCGGGTGGCAGATCGATTGCTGCGGTAGGGGTATAATGGCAGCCTGATTGCATTAAGACGCATTCGGGCCGCCACTCGAAGTGTTTATCCATGGGACAGGGCCCGATTAGGCATGGTGTCAATTCGGGGAGGACCTGAAATAACATGGTCCGGGTCCCCCCAGAGTAAGACACCTGAGGCCGGCCTTCAGGAAGTTTTTTAGTAGAATCACTACATACTCCTTGTTCCTGAGTCTCGAGAGCTGGAGATCCGATGGCTCTCGGAGCAGGAGATCCGAAGGGATTTTCCACCCCGTAAAAAAAAAGTTCATGAAAAGAATCGATTACGATGTTGATCTAGTGATGAGTGATTGCATAGTTAGTAGATTCGATACCCATCCCGGACAAATAATTGTGTGATAAGGACAATTATTGGTTTCCTCTGTGTGTAATTTATGATATGTACATACATAATATCTATCATCATTATCAACAGCCTTTACTAGTCCACTGCTGGACAAAGGCCTCTCCTTAGAACGAAGGTTTTGGCCTACTACACCACGCTGGTCAGACGGGTTGGTATAGGGTTTTGGTTGAGGGCCTTTTCCCACAACGAGCGGAACACACTCCCCCGTCGATGGCCTCCCTGGCCGGAGACGACGGGGAGCACGGGGAGGACAATGTTCCGCCCGTCCGGGATTCGGAGGTAGGGGCGGCTGTTCTACGGATCCGTTCCAAGAACACCGCACCCTGGGCCAGACGGGGTACCGGCCCGAGTGCTGGGCCCTGGCCCTCAACCACATGGCAGACCCGCCTCGGGGAGGTGTTCGACGCTAGCTTGGCGTCGGGACGCTTCCCTGAGTGCTGGAAGAGCGGGAAGCTGGTCCTACTGACGAAGCCGGGACGGCCTGCCGATTCGGTCGCGGCCCTATAGGCCCATCGTGCTGCTGGACGAGGCGGGCAAATTGTTTGAGAGGGTTCTTTCTGCCCGCATCGTCCGGCACCTCTGCGAGGTGGGCCCCGATCTGTCGGACGCCCAATTTGGTTTTCGGGCGGGGCGTTCGACAGTCGACGCCGTGTTGCGCCTGAGGGCCGTGACCGAAGAGGCCGTGAGCTGTGGCGGCGTGCTGTTGGCGGTGTCATTAGACATCGCCAACGCATTCAATAGTCTGCCATTCAGCTGCATCAGGGAAGCACTCCACTATCATGGGGTGCCCAAAGTACCTGAGGCGGCTGTGGCAGACTATTTAGAGGAGCCTACCGTCGTGTACGAGGACCGAGAAGGTAATCTGAGGTGTCGGCCCATGTCGTGCGGTGTTCCAACAGGGGTCTGTTCTTGGACCCCTCTTGTGGAACATAGGGTACGACTGGGCCCTTCGCGCCGATTTCCCCCCCCGGGCTGGGTGTAATCTGTTACGCAGACGATACCCTCGTGACAGCCCGGGGGGCAAACTTCCAAGAGGCGGCGCGCCTGGCCACAGGGGGAGTCTCCCTGGTGGTCGGGCGCATTGAGGCGCTGGGCTTACGGGTGGCCCTAGATAAGACGGAGGCCCTGTTATTCCATGGGCCCCGTCGTGGTCCACCCCCTGGCGCTCTCAATAGTGGTCAACTCGGTCCTCGTACCGGTTCGGGCCCAGATGAAATATCTGGCCTGATCCTCGACGGGAGGTGGCTCTTCGACGAGCACTTCCGACAGCTTGCTCCAAAGCTGGTCGGCGCTGCGTCTGCCCTAGGGCGACTCTTGCCCAATATGGGTGGACCCAGCGTCGCGACAAGACGGCTGTACACGGGGGTTGTCCGGTCAATGGCGCTGTACGGTGCACCGGTGTGGGCGGCGGCTCTGACCGCCCAGAATAGGGTACGCCTCTGGCGCCCTCAGAGGGTAATGGCGGTCAGAGCCATACGCGGTTACCGCACCGTTTCGACGGAGGTGGCATGCGCATTGGCCGGAACTCCCCCGTGGGATTTGGAGGCGGAAGTGCTCGCCGAAGTTTATCGGCGAGTGGCTGACTTCCGGGCGGAAGGCGGATTTCGCCCTCCGCCCGAGGATGTGCGCGAGTGGCGCGAAGCCGCTCGCCGAGCCACGATGGCTCGTTGGTCGTTCCGGCTGGAGACTCCACGCGCTGGCTTCGCCGCCGTGGAGGCTCTCCAGCCGGTCATCGCCGAGGTGGGCAGGGCGGCAGCACGGGACCCTTTCCTTCCGACTGACGCAGGTGCTTTCCGGGCACGGTTGCTTCGGAAAGTACCTGCACACGGTCGCTAGGAGGGAACTGAGTCCCGCCTGCCACCACTGCGACTGCAGTGAGGACTCGGCCCAGCACACGCTGGCGGTCTGCCCCGCATGGGCGGCGCAGCGCCGGGCCCTTACTGCAGTCATCGGAGTGGATCTCTCGCTACCGGCCGTAGTACGCTCCATGGCCGGTAGCGACAGTTGTTTTACCGCGGTCGCAACCTTCTGCGAGGTAGTAATCTCGCGGAAGGAGGCGGCGGAGAGGGCCCGGGAGGACGACCTCCACTCGGACCCGATCCGCCGCCGGCGAACCGGGCGGCGGAGGCCCGCCTACCACAGCCTCATGCCGCCCTGAGTGTGGCCGCGGGTGGACGGGGTGGGTTTCCCCTCCACCCGCATTAGTTTGGCCAGCCGCGAGGGGGCGGCGTCCGCGTGTGCCGGACGTCGCCTAAAAAGAGAGGAACAATATCGAGACGGAGCCCGCACCAGGAGCGGGCTGGCGCTAGGAGGGGTCCGGATGTCTTAACAACAGCTGTTCCCGGATCCCTCCTGTTACAGGCGCAGAGTGGCACACCGTGTGGTTTTAGTCGGTCCGAGTCCGACACACCACCCCGCCGCAAACCCCGGAGGGGTGACGGTCCGAGGGGATTTCCACACGTTAAAAAAAAAAAAAAAAAAAAAAAAAAAAAAAAGGGTTTATGTCAAGTTTTCCTTCTCTCTGCAGTGCTGTTGTCCTGCATATTTTGCTCCCTTAGTCGCCTCTTACGACACCCACGCGATGAGTAGGGGTGGCGACACTCTGTATTCTTAATCCGTCACCACACGGGTACAATCTCTGGTTTCCCTTCATGACGTATAAATCTTTCGCCTTTTACATAATATCTATATATGGTTATTACTTAAGAACTGGAAGTATACGTCAAGCCATCTTGTTGGCTAGTAATAACTAGGGGCTATCCATAAATTATGTCGCACGAATTTCATGTTTTATCCACAGCTTGTTATTGCATTGCGTTAACTCTTAAAGTCTTTTCACTGTCGGTCAAATTATTATCTACATAAAATTCAGAGTATAAATGGAAAATTGAAAACAACGTGTCTCGAAAATAGAATTTTAAATTTATGTATTTTATAAAGATAACAAAATTTTTTAAATTATATAATATTAGGTCCCTACATATAAAATTAGCGTTTTGTCGTACTGACATCTTTGATCTGAAATATCTCCTCTTTTGTTCCAAATTCAAATTTATAAATTCATTTAACTGGTACATTTGAGTTTTGAAAACAGTCATTCATTTGTTTTTTCCTCATTACTTGGCGTTGCTTATTACCGCACAATGCAAAACATGGAATATCGGTATATTTACGAGTACGAGTTCTACCGTGGCACCAGTGCTGCAAAAACAGCTCGAAGGATAAATGATGTGTACGGCGCTGGTGTCGCATAAGAAAGCACGGTACGTTTTTGGTTTCAACAAAAGTGGAAACTGAAGAATTAAAGGCTATTGTGGAAGCGGATCCATCACAAAGCACTTCAGTGATAGCTGCAGGCTTCGGGGTAAGTGATAAAACTGTATTAATCCACTTGACGCACATCGCGAAAGTAAAAATACTTCAACATGAATTGAGTAAATTGAACTTGCAAACACGCGTCGACTGCTGTGTTACTTTGATCAATCGACACAATAATGAAGGGATTTTAAATCGAATCATTACTTGTGATGAAAAGTGGATACTGTACGATAATCGGAAGCACTCGTCGCAATGGCTGAACCCTGGAGACCCAACCAAATCCTGCCCTAAACGAAAATTGACTCAGAAAATGTTACTGTTGAGTGTTTGGAGGACTAGCGCACGTGACGTTCACTACAGCTTTCTAAAATTTGGCTAAACGATTACGGCTGATATCTATTGTCAGCAACTGCAAACCATGAAGGAAGAACTAGCTGCTAAATAACAGAGATTGGTCAATCGCTCTAGGCCGCTGCTGCTTCACGACAACGCAAGACCACACACTACACAACGAACAACCACTAAGTTAGATGAGCTACAATTGGAATGTCTGCGACATCCATCGTGCTTCCCGGATCTTGTTCCAACAGATTACCATTTTTTTCCGGAATTTGGACAACTTCTCAAAAGGAAAAAAATTCAACTCCAATGCGGTGCAGTCCAAACCGCCTTCAAAGAGTTTATTGATTCTCGCCCCCATGGTTTTTTTATTAAAGGGATCAATGAACTACCTATGAGATGGCAAAAGTGCATAGATAACAACGGTGCATAATTGATAAATTAAATATATTTCACAAAAAAAAATAACTTTATATTCTACCCGCCACAACTACAAAACGCCAATTTCATATGTAAGGACCTAATACATATTAGTTATACATTTATTTGAAACAAGGAACGAAGGATAAATCTTATTCGAAACAAACATTTCCTCTCTGGGATATCCTCAATAGTGAATAAAAATGGGCTAATTGTGTTTAGTATATTGTATTGAAACCAATCAGATTAAGTATTATTTTTGTCCTTAGCATCCAGAGCACATAGAACAAACTCGCTACAACTGGAATACGAAGCAGAAGAATCTCCTGCTCGGTTGCTTCTTCTGGGGTTACGTGCTTACAGAACTTCCAGGCGGTCGACTCGCTGAAATTGTTGGAGCCAGGTTAGATATCCACACATATAATTAGTCATATTAATTTAGAACGTGGAACATTGTAAAGTATAAATTAATTAAGGGCCTTGGGATTTTTTTTGTAGGAAAAGAAAAAAAGCCAGTGTACGAGCATCATAAAACAATAAACAAAAAAATAAGACTAAGTTGTTAAATTAGCTCCGGCGGTAAGTGGACCAAAGTACGTTCTGGCAATTAAATCTAAAATGTAAAAGCTTTAAGCAACAAGGCGGGAATAATTAAGTTAGATGGTCTCTAAACATTTTCGGTCAATACTGGTGTACTACAATAGCATTATCAAGTTATTTTTTAGATAGAGGTAAAAATATAATTATTTTCAAGAGCGCGTTTCATTACACGTCCTACATAGACTTTATGGGAAAACCGGTTTATCCCGATACTTTCCAATCGCGGTTTATATTTAACACGTTTTGGCACCTTTGTCGTCACAGTTGCATCCTTGCTATTCTCTGGCGAATAATTCTGACGGAATGCCAACCGATTTGCAAATAATCCTCGCTATTGTATCCGTTCACACAAAAAACTTGGCTCTTGAATGGTAAACAATATTTTTTACAATAGAAAATCGTTTCATTGTCAACCATTATGCAGTAACGCGGGACGTTGACTCAAATTAATCCTGCCGTGGGGAGGGCGCCGACCGAACGATGTGACGCCTCAAAGAACATTAATCACATTCGAATTCCAAATTTGAATTATTAGTGAATATGCAATTTTCATTTATTAAGACCGGTTCATTCATTTTGCTCCATACATTTAAATTGTATTTTCTTTTTTTTAACGATGCAATCAAATGTTATTACGATTCGAATATTAAACTTCGCGTAATTTAAATCCGCGAATAATAAATAATATCTGGAGTTCATTTTAAAATAATATTTTAAGGGAGCATCCATTAATTATTTGGTTTGCGGGAGTTGAAAGGAATCTCCCTCAATATGGGGTGATCACCTCATATAGGAGACACCCCTCTCTCGGCATGTAAACTCCTTGGACTTAACTCGTCAAATAACAATTTCATATCCTAATAAAACGCAGACGTCACAAAGCAACGCAGTAGCACTTCGATTGCAATCTTAAAACTGCACTGAGTCCTTGTGGACTAAATTAGAATAAATATTTGAAATCTAGTCTGTTATTTTATACACGTTATTTTCCCTCACTGTGTTTTTAGGCAATCTTTATAAGTCTTCAATATTAGTCTTCACTAATTGTAAATTAAAATAATAGAATATACGAGTATTATGTTCCTTGTTTGTATAAATCCAATTAAATATTGATTGGCAATGTATTAATTTGCACTACAAACACGAATTTCAAAAATCTTCAGAATATAAGGGCAAGAAGGAGGGGTGGAGTAAATCCAGGGGGTTAAAATATCGGCACAATCATCTCACGTAAACATAAGTAGAGTTCTCTGGAATGGTCCTTTTTGATATGACCTTTAAACTGCCCTAATCAATTGTAATAGACAAACATCAACATTTTTTAATCAAGAACAATTAACTGTAATGATTTTGTAACACGATATGTGCCAAATTGTGCCAATTGACTTAGATCTAGGTACATAGTCATTTTCTTTTATTAATGACGATAGAATTAAATGGGTTGTTATGGTAAATGATATGCTGATGTTCGCATTAAATTTTAGTCAACGCTGACATCATTCACAAATTAAAACAATTAAATCACAGTTTATTGATATATGTTGGCAGTGCGCGTGCACCAATCGTGCGCTATCACTGCTAGTAAAATACCGGTTTATGACTAATAATGAGAATTATTTTACACGAGGACGATGAAATCAAGTTTCACCATATATATTTTTTACTATTTTTATCTGATTGCAATTATTATAACACTGTTGCATTAAAGTGTAAATGCATAAATTGAATTATGATAAAATGTTCATATGAAAAATACACTACTCACAAAAATTAAGGGATATAAAAAAAATACTAAATTTTTGGGTGATTTTCAACAAGCTCTAACTCCGAGGAAAATTATAGGCATTAAATTACTTAAAAGAGCTTTCTAGTGGAATAATAAAAAATATTTTTTTAAAGACCGTAGATCTTTTTTAGTTTTTTAGCAGTTTCCTTAGGATTATTCCAGGATCAAACATTATAAAAAAGAAAACATGGCCAAATCTGAAAACTAGACACTTAGAGCTACAATTTGCTCTTTGTTATTTTTCTATACGATCATTTTCCTCGGCGTTACAGCTTGTTGAAAATCACGCAAAAAACTTTTTTCATATCCCTTCGTTTTTGTGAGTAGTGTAGTAACGAAAATCCGATGATTGCTGACAGTATAAATATATGTAGGTAATTAAAAAGGAGATTTCATAGAATGAATCACGCGGAACATTCTCGTAAAAAGACGTATGCGGGTTGCGTGCGAGAAGCCGAGAATCGATCATTAATTTGATCGCTCGCGAAATGTTTGCGTGTCAAATTTTGAGATGGCGATGCGGGCGGCGGATTTTTCACGGAGGATATTCAAGTTACATGCTCATTATATTGAATTTGTTATTGTATCCCGCAATGGTTGAGTAAATATATAATAAAAATGGGTTTTTATTATTACTGCTAATATGAAGCATGCAGTAGGTATGTTAATGTAATTTTTACGGTTCTTATGGTCGCCAAAGTGTCGAAGTACAAAAGTTATATTTAATTATATTTTTCCTACAGACGGGTGTTTGGCTACAGTACCCTGATAGCCAGTATCCTGACCCTCCTCACTCCAGGCGCAGCGGCTCTCGGCTTCGGCTGGATTGTAGCTTCGAGAGTATTCCTAGGATTCTGCTTAGGAGCAACATGGCCAGCTATTCTACCGATGGCATCTAAATGGATTCCGGCAATGGACAGATCAAAGTTTATGTCAAACATGATGGGTAAGTCTCTAGTCATGTCAAGATTGATTGTGAATAATAATTTTAGCCTGTCTTAGGTTAAAAATGGGCTTGTCGGCAATAGGTTTTTCTCCCAAGCCTATTGCACTCAACCAGAAACTTTAGGTTTAAGATGGGAAAATTGGGTATAATATTGAAAACAAACATAAATAAGAAGGGGAGTCAATGAGCAATGGTGGCAAAGGGATGAATTGGGAATTGTAAGCAAAATTTTCCTACAAGTCGTCAGGGTCGCCTAACTTACGGCGAATTGGATCGGATTGGATATTCCCGGAAAATCCCAGTGCGAGAGTAGGTACATTTGCGTTATTTATTAAGGTCGCTTTTTAACAACTAATTTAATGTTATTAACGACCACCGTATTCAATTTATAATATAAATTGAAATAGGACGCAATAATTCAAACGCCTTCACCGGTTCTCGCGTCTACCGATTCTGTCGTCACCAGAAGACCTTGACGTTATTGATGTCATAGATATCTCTATCTATACGCAACGAGGGCTCGAATTATTATCGTTTAGCGCGCTAACATTTTGCAGCGTTGCGTGTATTTGAAAGCGACAATATGGCGGCGGAGGCGCGCGCAGGCGTGGTCGCTGACGTCATGCCATCTGCGCACGCTCATTGGCTGTTATTAGTTGACCGCGCGATATAACCTTGCGCAACCGTTGCCATGCTGCTGTTAACCAGTTCTAAGAATTACGAGTCATATTATTTTAGTGCCGGACGATTCAACCGCGGTCACGTGATTTCTGAGGCGACTATGATTTTTGTCAAGGTTAGGAATGTATGAATTTTATTTCTGTTTAACGTTGCAGTTTTTATTGTTTTTTAAAGGGGAGCGATATCGTTTATAGTAAAGATAGAAATATACTGGAGAGGCTGGAATCTACTTATGGCAAATTACGTATATTTGCATACAAAAAAAAACTAGAATACCTACATACCTAATGTTAAAATAAACAATGTATGGTCAAATAAAAAACCGGCCAAGTACGAGTCGGACTCGCGCATGAAGCATTCCGTACCATTATCTATAAAAACGGCAAAAAAATCATGTCTGTTGTATGGGAGCTCCACTTAAATATTTAGTTTATTCTGTTTTTACTATTTGTTGTTATAGCGGCAACAGAAATACATCATCTGTGAAAATTACAACTGTCTAACTGTCACGGTTCATGAGAAACAGCCTGGTCACACACGTACAGACAGACAGACAGACGGACGGACAGCGGAGTTTCAGTAATAGGCTCCCGTTTTACCCTTTGGGCACGGAACCCTAAAAAGCTTGAAGTGTCTTTTTTGTTCTAAATAGTTGACATTTAATTTAAATTCAACCTTGAAACATAGTACCTACCCACTTATTGTGTAAGTACTAAGTTTGCAATTCCTTGTGTGATAAAAAAAACTGTAGATATTATTCACATAGAGGTTTATTATACGGAACAAGAAAATGCAAACTGAACAATAATAACTTCGTAACTAGGAACTTAGTTTTAATGTTCAACCGTTTTAAAATTTACATATTTAATAAATTCTTATTTAAATATAGTTATTGTAAATAGATGTTATCTTTTTGTACTAGCAACATTAGCTTTTTAAGAAAAATATAGTTTATACTTAAATTTTAATTAGTTAATACACGTACATTTACAAAAGATCTCGTCAGTGAAGTTTCAATAAAGTAATTTTGCGGTTCAAACTTTTTTAACATATCCATGGCACGTTGATACAATTCACCAACTCCAGTTTGATCTGTCAGAAAGAAAATAGCTAATCAATAGCTGATAATAGAAGATAGTTATCCAATTTTCAATAAAACTGATACTGCGTAAGTAAATCTGGAAAGTCAGCATAAGATTTCGAATGGGTTCGGACGCGTTTTCCCATGAGAAATGAATTGAAATTGATTGGATTTATACTGCTTTATGTCTGTTTCTCCAACATTAACATCCTGTATTCATTATAGCCTGCAAACAGTACATCCTGTTAAATAACTCTTGGAGTAATACTTTTTTTAAGTTTAAATTTAACGATGGTATCGTTTTAAACTTAGAAAATACAAATATAGGATAGTCTCAACAGTACATAGTTATATAATAAAATTGATTTCACAAAGCTAATTGTTAGAAATACCGCCTAAAATAGAATTTCACACGGTTGTAATCAAATAAGGCTGTTGATACGAAACGTCATTATGTTATGACTCTTCAAAGATGTTGATCAATACCTCGGTACAGTTCAATAGACTTAAACATTCCAACTAAACATCGTCTGTTTAACATATAGGTTGTATAAACAATAATATAAATCAAAGTTCTTTCAATACTCCCATTTATTTCAGCACAAAAGTTTCCTTTCATTCTTAGCATACAATTATTACCACAGATAACGAATTCTTATGTCGCATAATATATTCTCTGCTGGAATTACATTCTTGTGGACGGGTTGAGGTTAATGCAATAAAAGTAATTTACGCGAGGAATGCTATTCAATTTTATGAGCTAATGAGCCGAGAGGTTGCGACAGTCGAATATTATTTATAAAATAGAAGTCTAATGATTAATTTAATATATTAAATATGATTAAGTATTATAATAGTTATTAACAAAATTTGTATGCAATATTAGTTCATTATTATTAAATCGTTCAACATAATATACGATAGGCCAAGTTCAACATAGTTATGAACCATGAAGATTTTCAGTGATTTCTTATCACAGAAGTACAGTTGAGAGCTCTCAGTTCACAGGCAATATGATACGGGTGTTTTTTTTCCGTAAGGTGAAATAAAATACTTTGGACGATGATTTAATCGCATTTGAATAATCTGAAACAGACAGACTAAACTGATCCTGGAGTATACATTAGAATTGGATTATTTAGTATGAGTTTGATGTTAGTTTTTAGGAGTGTGTAGATAGTTGGTAGTACCTTTATTTATATAGTACCTACTCGATAGCTTAGCATCAGTGGCTGTCTAGCATAATTTTCCTAGAACTATCCTGACTGAAGTCTGCAAAAGGACCAATTAACGGAAACATAAATTTCGCAAATATTTGTTTCTTTCACGTATGTGCTATGAATAAAAAGCTCAATGATGTTTTTAGGAAATCTCACGATGTGTTTTAACTTGGTCACCCTATTATGAATAACTGTCCCAGATATAAGTTCGTTTGTAACGGTAAAAATAAAAGTGAAAATGGAACGAGATTTGTTTCAAAAAGAGACATTCAACGAATCAATCAGCATAGTCAATGAACTTCAAAGGTGTAATTGAAAAAAAACAACTACTGGTTGTGGTATTTTAAAACTGGATCCATTTCAGCAGTGGATTTCAGCCTGTTGTTTTTTGATCGAATTGAAGGTAGTCGTATCTGTCTAAATAAGGTCCTGGAGTAATACGGTTTGGAGTTAAGAAAAATAATGTCCAAATACTTATTTGGTATTTTATGTAACAAAATATCATCAATCGATTACGGTCTACACATTGATCGATTTGGCCAGTTATGTCATATCACTAGTCATTGTTTTGTTAAATCTCAGCCGTATCAAGCTAAATAATTGCAGGAAGTATAGTGACGGCAATTATTGCTACGTTTAATTAATAATCATTTTATGAAATGATTGGTTTTAATTACTGCGATTTCACAAATTTAATAAAGACAACGACCTTTTTTTAGATTTAGATAGACCTTTCGCGGGTCTGGCGCTAGCGTAATCATAAGACGAGAGACTGTAAATTAGTCACATTGGTGATTATATGATTTATAAATCATATGTATTATCACAGGTGATTGTGATTTTATTCCATCTCTAGTAGTCACTATCCATTAGATACCCGTCTGCTCTTTTACTCCACTACACCATAAAAAAAAAAACACACACCCTTTTTTTTTCCGTGGGGAAATCCCCTCGGATACCACCTATCGGGTGGCATGTCGGACTCGAACCGACTAAAACCGCACGCCGTCTCGGGTACTAATAGCCGGGGAACCAGGCATACCCTAGAAAGGAAGTCCCTGGTGCAACACACACACACCCTAAAATCATAACACTATTTTTCATAGACAGTCGTGAAACAAATACATAGGTATATTTAGTTTTGCAAAGTAAACCTACCTACCAAACGATATTTAAATATTAATACCGTTTTCCAGCTCGCGGTATTTCCTCTAGAATAGTAAATAGGTAAGTTAATAGTATTGTTATATTGTTCGTAAATCATGGGTCAGAAGTTCAGCTTTAAACTGTGCAGCTTTAGACCTTATTTCCAAATGCGTAGTTGCCATTTTGCTAATTAAAATACCAATTTGTTTGACTGTATATTACAGAAATTTAAAACATCGACTTATGTTCAAAGTTCATTTAGTGGATATAAATGTTTTCATTATATTATTTACATTGCATATAAGTACTTACTGAATAATAGGATTGGTATTATATATGATTAATAACAAAAATGTTTTTCCTTGTCATATGACCTGCCAAATGTCACTTCGCTTTGTTGATGCTTTGTTTTCTGCCAGTTTTTAGCAGAAGGATATAGAAATCTGGAATCGGAGCTTCATAGATGCAGATCTCTGTTGAAGTGTTCAGGGAGGCGACGCCAACATACATTACTTATTATACATACATGGACCCAGTATAACTGGGTGTAAGGGACGTCGTAACAAATACTGAAATAGTGTTTTCAGACCATCGTTCGAAAATCATTGGAATTTTCTGCCGGAAAATTGAACTTTTTATGCAATCAGCTGTCAAAGGTTAAGGTTTCCGTAGGTATCGCACAAAAGTAATAACTATTACAATTTACTTTTTCGGGGTTAAAGGTTAGGTACGTTTACCTAACCCCTTTTTCTGTACAACATTTATGCAGAGTTTAACACTAATTGGTTAAGTCGTTAAGGTTTAAAAGTGTACCAAAGATACGCACAAACGAACTCACTTTTGCAATTATTATATTAATTAAGTAGTTATGA